TGAATCACTCTCACTTCTGCTCTGTCATCACATCTTCTCTGACCTGTTTTCATAATGATCGGGCATAGCTGGGGGATCCAGAACACCCTCCCTGTGCCAGCCCCAACTGTGTCTGCAATGTCCTTGCCGTAACACGTTCATAGCCTCCAGGGGCTACATGGGCCTATGGGGGGTGGGGGAGAGAGTGGGAGGAGCTGCGTTTTAAGATTTATTTATTGATGCATACAGAACTGGGGCACAGGCTAGAGGTGAAGGGGCAGTGAGAGGATTCACCAGAGACAGAGTGGGGAGCAGAACAGGCAGATCATGAAGTACACTGCTGAGGGGAGCAGCGGGCGGGTCAGGAGAGGTCTGCTGCGCCCTGTGGATCACCTCACCTCTGGGGCTGGGGATCGAACTCGCACTGAAGCAGCTGCAGCTGGCTTGCAGGGCTGCGTCCTTGCCCGCTGTGCCACCAGGGAGGGCCGGAGTGGTTTCTTGTGGAGGGAAGGAATTCTGGCTTCATAGGGAAAGTGGCAGCTGCACCAGGAGGGCAGGCCCCACGCAGGGGAGTGTGCCCAACAGGGGTGGCTGGTGGGGGCACTGGCGGGCGCTGGCCAGCTGTGGCGGGGTCATGCACGGCAGGGGTCTCCCAAGCTCAGGGGCTGTGAGCACAGGGATTTCCTCACGCCAGCTACCCGTGCACTGTGCTCATTCTCCAAGTTTGGGTTCTGCTCTGTCTTCACTCCAGCACCCGATGGAGCTGCCCCTCTCTGAGTACAAGGGGCTTGTGGAGGAAGAGCAAACTCAGTACAAAGCCACAAGATGATTTTTGAAGCTTGGAAGGGCACGTGGCCTTCCCCTTGTGTTTCACCAGCCAGTGCAAGTCAGGTCATACAGCCAAGGTTGCCTTCGCTGGGAAGGAACTAAAAGAAAACCCTCCCTTAGAAAGGGACCAACTGTACACTAGGCCAGAGGGCAGAGCAAGGTGCCAGGAATGACTTAAAGCTCACGGGACAGTGGGGCCAGGTCACGGGCGCTGTAAGAGCTCGTCGATGCCATGGAGATGGGAATTGGGTCTCAGCCTTCGCGTAACCCACTGTACCTCGACCGTCTCTCTCGTAACGCCTGCGCCTGTAATATCTTCATGCCACAGATACAGTATGTGCTGCGCGCTTATTTGTGCTTTGTATACAAAAACAGCAAGATTTTGGCCACTTAAGAGCCTCGTGGCAAGTGTCGCCCCCTGTTGAAATGCATGTTGTGACCCTGCTTGCTTCGCAAACCTTTCCAAAGTTGAACCTAAACGTCTTACTGCTTTAGGGGTCTTTTCACTGAATGGCTGCCGTGCCTGTCACCTGCTGGGGTCCATTTAGCTCGGCTGTTGACAAAAGACCTTTTGTGTTTTAATTTCTTATGGTCTTTCCCTCGTTGGGAAACCCCAGGAAGCTGTTGTCGGTGTACCAGGCCAGTGAGTATCTTCTTTGCTTGTTTTGGGCATGCAGCCGAGCCGCATGAGTGTGGCAGGTGCCCAGTGCGAGGCTAGGCTAGAGAAACTGGGCACACGCTCAGTGCTTTGCTGATGTCATACAGGTCCAGTGCGCATCGCTTGAAGACCAGTTATGTGCTAGGCCCTGAGGCTGTGCTGGTGGAGTCAATAATGTCTTTGCCCTCAGTGGAGGACAAATAGCCGAGAGCTGAGTCTGTGAACTGGCTAGGTGACTCCATGTGGGTTGGTCGGGATGGCTTTCCAATTTGTTTTTCGCTCGCGCTTGACTTGAGGAGTTAACTGACAATGGAGATTCATAGATGTGGTTTTCTTTGTAAGTGTGTAGCAAAACCACCTCTCAACACAAGTTCTTTATCAAAATGGTATGTGGAACAACTCTGTTCTGGATTTCTAAAACAGATTTTTAAAAAATATGTATTTATGCTTACAAGAACTGGGGTGTAGGCCACACGTGTGGGGGTGAGAGGATTCACCAGAGACAGAGTGGGAGCAGAAACACACTGCTGATGGGAGCAGCGGGGAGATGGGAGAGGTCTGCTGCGCCATGTGGGTCACCCCCTGGCTGGAGGTGGAACTCGGGCTGCAATGGCTGCTGACAGTTTGATAGCACTGAGGCTTTAACCCTTGCCCCATCAGGGAGGCCTCTAAAACATTTTTTTTTAATATTTATTTATGCATACAGAACTGGGGTACAGGCCAGAGGTGCAGGGCGGTGAGAGGATTCATCAGAGACAGAGTGGGGAGCAGAACAGGCAGATCGTAGAAGCTAAAGCCACTGCAGCAGGGGTTTGATCCCCGCCTGCCCCGGAGGTGACCCACGTGGCGCGGCAGACCTCTCCCGACCCGCCCGCTGCTCCCCTCAGCAGTGTACCTCATCAGTCGGCCTGTTCTGCTCCCCACTCTGTCTCTGGTGAGTCCTCTCACCCCCTGTGCACCTCTGGCCTGTACCCCAGTTCTGTGTGCATCAATAAATATGTAAAAACAAAATTTTAAAGCCCTCCCCATTGGCGCCGCCCTCCACACTCGCTCTCTCTCACTCTGCCCCAGCCATACTGGCCTCCCGGCTGGGGACCCCAAACACACCCAACAGGGCGGTCTCAGAGGTTTTCCTGCTCAGCGCACAGCCTTCTGCTGCAGCGCACCCCCACCCACTTTTCATCACCTTATGCCGTTCATGCCTTTAGTTTGCCTTCTCTGTCCTCAAGCGCCTTGAGGGCAGGGGCTGCCCTTGCCCACCAGTCTCTGCCTGCTTCCAGCATGGGCCTTGCCCACAAGATTCTTGGCATTTGAAATGACTGTTTCATTATGGCTTGAGAGTATTTGATGCCCCCTTTTCTCTGAGACATCTGTAAAAGGCCTCTGTAGGTAACACGCTCCCACTCAGGTGTTTCATTCGGTGGCGTTGTGCGTCGAGTCAGGGCCTGCCTGGAAGCTAGAAGCTCAGCATCGCTCCACCTTCTCGCTTGGGGTGGCTACTGGGGAAGCTGGTCTCACACTCAGAACCTCCCCTGAATCTGCCGTTGCGTTCTCTGACCGCAGCCTAACATGCCCAGGTCGCCAGGCCCTGCCTGTACGCTCCGGCTCACCAGCTCTTTCCTACTTCTGTGCAGACCAAGATTCCACGACTGACCTTTTCCAGCCAGACTGGCCTCTTGCAAGGGTGTTAGAGCCCCGAAAGGCCTATTCGTGTCGCTTGGTTTCCCTCCTCCCAGGGAGCTGGCTGTAGCTTTCTGGAGTAAAGGCTGGCTGGCTAGTCCCGGACGCCCTCTCACCACATCTGCAGAACACACAGGACTAAGCCAACTTCAGTCCAAGTTTAGCAAAACCCATGCTTTGTCCTTTGAAATGTTTTCATTCTGTAGGGTATTTTGAATGGTAGTTTTTGGTAAGCACAAATCTGGAGGGAAGGAAATTATAAAATGATTGTATTTTCCAGTTGGCAGCTGTGAGCACAAAGGCGTCCAGGCGCTCTGACAATCTAGTACGTGTAAACACACACGTCTCTATACACACTGGGCTGAGAAGGGAAAAAACCCGGCTGTCGCACCATCGTTTACTTAGGTTAAGAAGGTTCCATGTTGTCTGAGGATGCGTGAATGGGAGCACTTCAAAAACTCCCCCCCCCTAGTTTGATACTGAAACTGAAACTCAATGAAAGATTTAAGTAGCTGCAGAAGAATAAACTCGGAAATACTCTGTCAAACTATTTCCAAATCCAAGAAATGTGTGTGCAGACTGGACAACAGGTTTAGAGACGTCGCAACAAAAGCCAGGCGGACGTGCAGAGACGGGAAGTCTGGCAACACGTGATCCCGAAACGTGCTGTTTTCCATTTTAAGTATATAACCTGGTTTTAATCATTTTCCAGACATGCATCCAAATTAAGAGGGGAAAAGCCTAGAAAATACTGCAGCAAAAATCCCTCTATTCTGTTTGAGGCCAGGCCCGATTCCTGGCTCTGCTACTGACGGTCTGTCGTGTGGGAACAAGAGCGAGGACAGAGCCGCCAGACTTAGTGTCTCTTCCCCTCTTTGCTGTGTCTTGTCTACTGTTGGCCTTTACGTTCAGCGTGCTAAGAAATGCGCACATGTCCGGGGTGACCTTTAAAACTTCATTTTCTGATGAAATAGAAACACATGCAGCTACTAGTGTCCCCAAACTTCTAGAGACTGTGTAGGACACTAAAGTCACAGCAGAGAGCTGTAAGTCTAGGAACTGGTCAGGCTGGGTCAGGCAGAAAGCTGCTCAGAGGCAGCCGGTAGGAAGGTCGCCCCTGCGAAGCCCTGGGCCGGAGGAAGCGCACCCGAAGACAACACCGAGGCCCAGAGACAAGTGCGTTGGAAGGAAAGCAGGTGGAAGGAAGACCGAAGCTGACACTTGCATTGAAACGTCTTTTCTCAAAGAAAAACTTCCCAGTGACCTTTATGGGGGGTAGTTTAAAGATGCAAAGGCTGGCCCTCCCTGGTGGCGCAGCAGGTTAAAGCGCAGCACTAAGAAGCTGAAGCCACTTCAGCATGAGTTCGATCCCCGCTTGCCTCAAAGGTGACCCACATAGCGTGGCAGACCTCTCTTGACCTGCCCATCCTGTGCGCCCCTCAGCAATGTTCTTTGTTAATCTGCCTGTCCTGCTCCCCATTCTCTCTGGTAAATCCTCTCACAGCCCCTATGACCTGTACCCCAGTTCTGTATGCATAAATAAATCTTTAAAAAAAAAATGCAAAGGCCGCTAGAACAGATTGATTCCTAAACGCTCCAAGAGGGATATGGATGTCCTGAGCTAGAGAAAATGAAAAGAGGAGTGTGTGAGGACCCAAGGGAGACAGTGGGAGGGCTGGAGGGGAGGGCCTGCGGGAGCGGCAGGCACCCAGCACCAGCGACATCAGGGCTCACTTCGGGCCCGCATGGAGAGGTCTTGTTTCATGGGGATGAAAACCATTACTTACAAAAAGAAACATGAGCAATGAGTTTTATTTAAGTACTTATAAAAAGATTTATACCAATCAAGCCTTTTACATGTAAAAAGTAAATCTGTATTTGCAGAGTTCAATATATGAAAATACAAAAGCAGACTGAATTATCAAAAAGAAAACATTTTATTTATATCACTAAATACAATTAGTTTCCCTGATTGTAACCCACCGTGAGTGTCACCTTAAACCGGGAGGTCAGTTGACGCGGGCGGCCTCAGCCTCTCCGAATACAGACACACAAAGTACTGGTTTCAGAAAAAGCAGAGCTGAGCAGATTAAATTAATGTCTGTCTAGAAACTCTTACCATTTGACGGAAATCAGAGGACGATTTAAGTAGTGAAATACGTGTATAACTTAGAAAGTGAAAAGCTTGCAGTGAGAAGATCATCTTGTGCATTCTTCTCAGGGATGCGAGGCCTGACCCCTCCGCAGACCCCAAGTCTGGAGAAGCCAGCCGGCCCCGCGGATACCGGTCAGCTCACTTGCCATGTGGTTGGTCATGATGCATTTCCGGTGTGTAAGTCAAGAGGACAATCATGACCCAGAGGTGAAGCAAAGCCTGGAGGAAGAGAAAGACCTGTGGATTAGCCGACCGCCCGAGCTCACCAGGCCCTGCTGGGCGGAGGGCGGCCAGGAGCCCTCATCTGTCTGCTCCTGTGACCAGCGCAAGCCAAGGCACCGCAGGGCCTCGGTACTTGCACGCTGGGTAAGAAACAAACACAATCAAATGAGCTAAATGTGAGGCAGAGTGACAGATGCGATCCCCACGGGTTCTCCGTCAGAGGAGGGAGCCCTGCGAGACGGGCGGCCACAGGCAGAGCAGCGTCATTACAGCTGCTACACCCCAGGAAGTTGGCTGGGAGGGTTCTTCAGCAGTCTGAAGGCTGGCGTTTGGGAAGCAGGTTAGCCATGACTCGGTCGTGACAGGGTTTAGAGGTTGACGGGGGGGTCAGTACAGGGCTCCAGGGTAGGTCCCACTGACCCCGTGGTCACCCTCCGGGACAGCCAGTGCCCTGGACCTGAGCAGCACCTGGGACGTGGACCCAGTGGCCTAGCCTCTCCAGGTCAGTTTCCCTCTCTTGTGCTCTCCCCACCCTTCTCTTCCTAAAACCTTATTCCAAGGAGTGACTCTTCCCTCTAGTGGGCCACAGATAAACTCCCAAGTATGCTTTTATTTGTTTTAAAGAAAAACTGCCTCTTTCAATTCAATTGCCAGACACTCCTATGCAGAATAGTTCATGGCCTTGAGGCCCATTTAGAAAAGAAAGCAAGTCACAAAAAGACTTAAAACAACTTTATATCAAGATCAAAATGAAAACAAGTGATTTATACAATATATCATTAGTGTTAAAAAATGGAGGTAACTATTAGATTGCACTAGGTAACTTTATTTGCAAGAAAAGCTCTTGAGCAATTTAGACATAATGTATTGTCAACTTGCACCATACTTTAAGAACCTTAACAAGCAAAAATAAGTCCTATTTCAAAACAGTTTCTTCAACTTTTACTCAAAAAGATCAGCAGTTGAAAAAACAACTAAAAGTTAAGAGTAACGCTGCTTTTCAAACAAGTCTACTTACCATGTATATGATTACAAAAACCCGGGCTATGGGGTATCTTCGGAGAAAAATTCCCAGGCGGATGCTGTTGGGGGGTTGAGGGGGGGAGAGAAGAGTTAAACTCTCAGCTGGCCTTCTTGTAATACAATTTCACAATTCACAATTTCACTCATCTTAGGGAGGCTACCGTACCAGCAGAATTTTAACAGACTGTTAAATGACTACTTGAAACAGCAATACGGACAGTCAGGGTAATAAATACTTTCACCCCCATTTGGCTGTTAGACGGCAAACACCTTCTCTTAACTCTCTGGCTACACTTGGAGGAGGCAAACTTGGTCTGTATCGTTTTTTAGGCTAAAAAAGTTAAAAAGATGTAAGTATGAACTCGTGACTGGAAAAAAAGAGTCGGCTTGGGATTAATCTGCAAACAGCTAATCTGGGCGCTTTTGCAAGGACGCGTGCTTCTGAAGGGCACAGAACTAACAGCAACCACAGCGAGCACAGCCGAAGAGCCGGGGGCAACGTGCTGTCCTGGCCTGCCTGCTCTTCTCTGTAAGACGGCTGTGTGCAAAAGCAAACACACCTTTTTTCTATGCCTCGCTTTGCCTGTGGGTTCCCTGAGAATTATTATGTATGCTAATAACTCTTAAATAGATGTGCGGAGCAGCCTGGAGGTGATGACTTCTAGGCTTGTGATTTTGAGAGTCATAGTAAGTCCTATTTTACACATCACAGCTCTATTCTGACACACAAAGGCAGAAAACATCGATCTATTATGTAAGAATTCATTAAAATTGTTTAACTATAAACACTAAAAGGCAAGAGCTCAGCATCTTTAGAGATGAACTTTATTGAGGTTATATGTAAACTGTTAAAAAAAATAAGATAGATGCCTGCTAGTCTAAAAGATTTAGAAATACATAATATATGAAGTGCTTATATATTATACATAAAATACACACTGAGCACTGTGGGATAAAACACTCGAGTGGATGTATTTATAGGAGAGGGGATTTCTCAATGAGTTTTTAAATAGTTTATTCTGGAAAGAGGAAAAAGGGTCAGGGTTAATGATATTCCATAAAAGAGACACTGGTAGACCTTTAAAGTAAATTCAGGACACTGAAAGCCCATGAAAAGCATACGATAAATGTCATTTTAATTGTCAGCGCTGCCTCAGGGGTCCGTGACGGAGACCACTGACAAAGGTCCTGAGGCGGCAGACCCAGCTGCCACACTGAGGGCCTCTTACCTGAACTGGTCGATCGAACTAGCAGCTTTACGGACCTTTCCATACATTCCCGCCAGGTTAGCTTCGGAGTCATTAAAAAGAACAGGGACGTTTCGCAGACGTGTACCTGTTTTAAACAAGAAAATAGCAAACTGGTGTACAGATACCAAAATCAACTTTCTGACCACACTGCAGATGAATAGTTATGTTACACAGAAATGAAATTCTCGCGGCTAACTTTCTAAGCATTAAATTCTAAGTGAAACCCTAGAGAAAGACTAAATTTGATTATAGTCCTTAAGTTGCACATTCCCAGGAATCAAAATTTAAAAACCTGGAAGATTATTTCCCCATGAGATCAGTAAATCCAAGTTAACAGATGCCCAGTACTGATGAGACACCTTTCTACAAAGCTAAGACCCCCCCAAACACTCATCTCCAGCCAGGACATCCCCTTAATGCTAGACTTGTCCAGCTGTCTATTTCACCTCTCTGAATGTTAAACAGGCATCTCAAATTCAGGACACCCCAAAACAGGATCCAGGTTTCCTGCTTCCAGCCACCCTACTCTTCCTGCAGGCAGCAACCTCATCCTTCCATCCACTCAGACAGAAACCTTGACTCCTTTCTCCCCCTCAACTCCCCATCTAATCTGCCAGCAAACTAAGTTTTCCTGCAGCCTCAATGCTGAAGGGCCCCCATGGCGCTGAACCACCACCTCTCCCGCAGCACACAGGCTCCTCCCTGTCCCCTGCAGCCACTGGCAGACTCTGCATTGTTCTTCCAGAGCAGCCAGAGGCCTCTTGTCAACATTCAAGTCAGGAGTTGCACTCTCAGGACCCTCCAGTGGCTTCCTACCTTGGAGTAGAAGTCCATGTTCAGGCCAAAACAGCTTCCCCCAAGCTCTCTGTACCCAGCTGCCCCGCTCTCCCCTCACCTGACCCTCGCCTGCACTGGCCTGTGCAGCACCACTCCTAGAGGGCCTGGGGCCTGCTCCTCCCCGGACAGGCCCAGCTGAACACTCCGTGGCCCTCTGGTCACTCTGCCTGGCCCATCCCCACACCTCGTATCCTAAACCTCTCACCCTGGCCCATATCTCAATGCATCACAGTCTACTTACATCTGCACCTAGTCCCCGAAACACCAGCTTGTCAGACCCTCGGGCAGAGGGCACCTAGTAACTATTGGCCTTTAAACTGACCCTGCAATTCCATTTGTAATAACTTATATCCTAAGAAAATAAAAGATGTGTACCAAGAGTACTTTCTTCAGCAATACTTGCATTAGTGATAAAAATGATACGATCGAAATCCCCAAGCATAGGAACTGGTTAAATAAATGATGGTCTTTCCATTTGATGAGCATAGTGCATACATAAATACATAAATGTATTTCAGAAATACTTTTTTTATTTATATGTGTGCAGAAGCCTCAGGAGTTCCAAATTGCTGTCTATGAGTTCAACTGCTCCCCTTTTATGTATTTCCTTTCACTGCAACTATTTTATTAGAAATATACATACAATATTTTTTATGTTAAAAGTTTTTTTAATTTAAGCAAAAGTGATATGACTACTGTGCAGACTCAATGAAGTCCTAAAATTAAAAGTCTAATCTGTTGAAGTTCAAACTAAAAACCCTTAGTATCTTTACATTTTAAATTTTGGAAATTATTACTTATCGACCATGGATACACTTATGTGACTACGTATTAGCTTGCAATACCTGAAATTACAGATGCAAGGTTATTAAAACAAATAGCGTCAACGTTCTCAAAGTCCCTCTCAAATTCTTTACCTCTTGAATGATCCACTTGGTCAGCAATGCCGGTTAAATGTCCTACACGTTTCAGTACAGTTACCAGTCCCGAGGCTTCCTCTCGCCACACCCCCTACGAGTGAGGACCTTCACCAGACCACCACCAGCTCGCTAACCACCACAACCTGCATTTTCCAGGTCTCACATTAGGAAAGTGTGTGTTTGCTGCTTTTATTCAAACAAGTCTTTATACAAGTTTCCAAGGCATGTCTGAGTTAGCAAGGCTGCAACTGAGGCCAACGAGACCTTCTGCTGAGGGCCCCCATGCTGTACCTTCGCCACTGTCGACTCCAGCCATGTTAATGGAAGACCCGCCGCCCCCACTTCCGGCTACACACTTCATTTGCTGCTCGAGGCGCTCCAGCTGGAAGACCAGGGAGTTCTTCTCAGTGCTGAGATTCTCCAGCATGGTCTGCTTCTGGATGAGCGTCTCTGTAAGCTGGTGGAGTCGATTTTCTAACTCAGACTGACTGTTATTGCTCAAAGTCTTATTGGTGAGCTGAAAGGCAAGATGTTCAGATTATTAAAGTCAAAACAGCACAGAAACCAAATTACCACTTCCCCATAGGTATACTGTGGCATTAACTGATTTCCAAAACTGTATGATGATTCTTCCATTATCTACAGAGGTGATTTTCCAACTCTGTTAGTGAACCGTGAAATCAATTTGGTGGGTCACATCAGCTTTAAAGAAAGAGAAGAGAATGGGAAATATCAGCCTGCCTGGCACATAATGTGATATTTTCTGAAACTTCTGTTTGTGAAAAACCTCCTGTTCTCTGTTCTAGAAACATTATAGCTTAGGTCGACTACATTCCAAATGAATTTTTGTTAACTTTCTAAGTCTAATTAGAGGATAAAGGTCAAGGCTGATTTTTTTCTATTATGTTTTTATCCAGTGCCATACAATAGTTTTTAAAGAATGAAAAAACAATCATTGTGGTAACCTAATTTTCTTAGTTAGCTAACATTGTTCTCCTAAGAAGCCCAACAGCAGTAAGATAAGCAGAACCAGATTTCTTATTGTTTACTCTGTAAAAATCTTAGCTCACTCTAATTGTGTAGGGTTTTTGTTTTGTTTTTATAATCTATTAAGATATTGATCTCTTTTTAAACTGTACAAGTCACCTTATTTCTGAGAGACAGGTATTTTTTTCTTTTGCAGAGATGAAAATTTTTAAAAGAAATCCTCCTTGGTTAATTCTTGATTAACAACAAAAGTACAGTATTTTAGTTATAGTAGGTACTCACTGAAAACTTATTTAAGGATTAAACCAATTGGTGGTTTACTCTCTTTTCTTTGACTTCCTGCTGGCGGGGCATGCTACCATTTGTAAGCATTGCAGAAGTGTAGGCAAAGGAAGGAGATGGGAACACCCAAATCAGTTAGTTGTCCCCAGCTTTTATTTAAAGATTGATTTATTTATGCATACAAGAACTGGGATACAGGCCAAAGACGGTGTGTGTGTGTGTGTGTGTGTGTGTGTGTGTGTGTGTATGTGTGAGAGAGGATTCACCAGCGACAGAGTGGGGAGCAGAACAGGCAGACTGACTGAAATCCACTGCTGAGGGGAGCAGCGGGCGGGTCAGGAGAGGTCTGCTGTGCCATGTGGGTCAGCTCCCTGGTGGAGGATGGAACTCATATTGAAGTGGCTGTAGCTAGCTTCATAGTGCAGGGCTTTACCCGTTATGCCACCAGAGAGGGCCCCCCATTTAAATATTTTAAATATTTTAAATTATGGGCTACTGTGAAGTTTGGGAACTTAAAAAAACAAATTACTTGCCTTTCAGATCCTAAGTCATTAGCTAAAAAATATTTAAATTATTTAAATTTAAATTATTTAAATGACTAATGAGTCTAATTTCCTAAATGAATCTTCTAGCTACAAGGGAGGGAAGACAGCACTGCAAGATGAGCAATGCACGGTGTTGGTTAAAAACAAGCTTTGGGCAATCTGGGTGGCAGGTACTTATTTTCTATTTCTCGATTAAAATTAAGTTCTTGGTGACTTTATAAAGGACCTATTGATCTGTGGTTAACAGAAAATTTATCATTGCATTATTTATTTATAGTAGAAAAGAGAAACCACCAGTCGTGAAAGTGGCAGTTGGCAGGACTGCCACTGGAGGTAGGAGACACAAGCCTTGGGCGACTCCCCAGTAAGATACTTCTGTAAGAAGCAAGCCACAAACAATGGCAAATGCTGACTCAGCGCTAGAGGAAAACTGCACCAGTTGAAAACCTTGCATTCCACTGTTGCAACAACAGTGCTCAGGGAAAAACATGGCGGAAAAGCAGCCTCACATTAGTGTCCTTTCCCAGTGTGGGGTTCATACCTGATTCCTGAGTTTCTGAATTTCTTCTTCTCGATCTTTAATTCTGCTTTGTAATGTGTTCTTCGTCCGATATAGATCTTCCTCTATGTAGCGGGATTCCTAGAGTGAGGTGTGAATAAGCAAATGCTAAGTCAGCATTCCCTGTTCCATCCCAGTCCTGAAAACGTTGCAGGCCAGAGGAGACAGTTAACTTGCTGAGTGAATAAACTGAATGAATAAACGAACGGATTTGGATGGGTCTGGTGGAATGCCAGTACTTCAGCATGATTTATCAATTTGTACATGATGAATATCCAAGCACAAATCTTTATGGGGTCAAATTTTTGTCCTTTTTGGGTAATTGTGGCGGAGAACCACTGGATCATACGTACGTGTACGTCCACCTGCCAAATGGCTTTCTGGCTTTTTTTTTTTTTTTTTACAAAAGACTTGTACCACTCTCACAGCAAGAGGGGAGAGCCCGGGTCTTCTAGGTCCCCCCAGCACCTGGCTCTGTCACCTCAGTCAGGGCCGCTCTCCCAGTGGGGTGTAACGCTAGCACGTGGGTCTCAATGTGCACTTCCCTAATGTTCCAGGGTGCTGAGCAATTTGGGGGCACTTATTTGTATCAGGCAGTATCTTTATCTGTTTTGTTCCATCATCAATACGAGAGAGAGAGTGCAAAAAGAAATACCTCAGTCACTAACCATTGCACGAATGCACTGCTGGTTTGCACAATGCAAATAATCAGAGTCGGGCCTGAAATTAAGAGCAGAACTCCTGCCAGGGAATAAGGAGCTACTAAAAGTAACTGAGCACCTTCAAGAGCATCATGCTTAACTGTCCAGACAACATAAGTGAAAAGTGCTGAATGAAGATGTAAACGTGCTATGGACTCCAACTGCTGGAGATGACTTTATGAGTAGTTCAACTTACAAGATTTTAAAAAAAATTGAGAGAAGTGAGGATAGACAAAATTAGGTGGGCAACTGGACTAGAAGAATCAAAATTTACTAGGTTTCCTGGTGTCAGTTTGAAGCTAGCAAAAATTGTGAGGTTACTTAAGCTAAGGAGTCAAGTTAAGCTAAAGGGCCACTTGGTCCCGACAGAGAGGACTCCCGCTGAGAACAGCCGACTGCCCAGACGTAGCCTGTAGCTATATCGGTCCATTTTCCTCTAACACCGGCTCTCTCCTTTTAAAAGGGCACTAGCTGTGGGCATGGTATAGCCATCTGCCTTCATAAAATGATTTTATCTCATCAACTATGAAGGACATCAATTTTTTGCCTTTTTATATAAAATAGCTCCTTCAATGAATTAATATGCAATTTCCAAATGGGCAGTTAATCTTAAGAGCTGGACTAGCTCAGACAGCCGGTGATCCCTGCAGGTTGCTCCTCAGAGGGTTTGTTCTCACTGAGGAAACTCGTGCAACTCTCATCATAATGACAAACATTTTTTCCTGAGAACAGAATGAGTTTCAGAAATGATAAATCCCAATGGGGGAGGGGAACCTTTATAAAGAATATAAATAGGTAGAGCTGGAAATGTTGTGAGTGATGAACTGAAATTTCGCAACTTTCTCTTCTGAAGCACATGGAAGACAATGATTTCATTGTGAATGAAGCTGTAAATGCCTTTAACAACATCATTACTCAGGAAATTACAGGCACTATAAATATTGAATATAGGATCTTATTCCGTAAATGCAGTTGTAAACATTTAACTGTTAATACTGAAACTACTTCATATGTATCTTAACATAATTGGCTGGAGAAGCAGATAACTGCTAACTGAAAATGAAAAATTTTAGAAGTGACTGGGAGAATACAGTTTTAAATATCTCTTGCAAGAACAGTCTGTATAAGCATTTCTCAAATATTTCTATTAAATACTGTTTCTAGCAAGTACAAAAATAAATATAAAAATTAAGTGAAGTTCTAAAGTATTCTATACATATACACTCTGACAAGGAGGTACAAATAAAATGTAGACTAACGTAGTAGAAAGAATTCTGGGCTCTAGGATAGAAATCCTGGTTTCTATTTGAATCTCAAATTAGTCATGTGAATTAGGCAGGCGTATAACCATTTTTTATCTGTTAAAAAAAAACCAATGAGGTGAGTGAGTAGTAATGAGCTGAGTGGGGCTGCGGGGTCCTGGCAGCCATTACCATTCCGGACTTTCACCAATCCCGGGACTTCAGACAGTGGCTTTCCTGCAAAGCGCCACGTGACTCCCAGTGCACGGAATCGCCTTGGGATCATCAGTCTGGAACACGTACCTGCTTCTGCCGCTCCAGTTCTGCCTCTAGTTCTTGTTTAGATGCTTTCTGCCCAGCGACCTGGTCTTGTAGATCCTGTAGCTGTTCTCTGGCTGATTCTGCTTCACTAACCTGCTGGGCCTCCATGTCCTAGAAGAATGACCCTTACATGTGAAATCAGTAACAAACTGCTCGATTTGACAGTGACTTAGCAATCACTGTGAAATCCCTGTGAAGGGGCTCAGCAGGCACGGAGGGATGAGGAGGAGGAAGACCTGGTCCCAGCCTAAGAGGAATGTATAAACTGATACTTCATTATGTAACATGGCAAACGGTAGGAGAAATGGAGAGGATGCTACAGGTGCACATAAACCTTTCAGTAAGTATGAGGAGACTGGGGCTCACCGGGAGAGTCACGTCTCTGTTCAAAAGTTAATTTCAAAAAGAACAGCCACAGCATCAATGTAAGGCACAGTAAGGCGAGTACAGCTGATAGTACTGTACTGAATATGAACACTGCTATGACAACAGATCTTAAAAGTTGTCATCACAAATAAAAAATCGTTAATTATGGATGACAAGCAGGCTTCTTATCAGCATTTCACAATACATACAAGTATTAATCATTATGGTACACAACCTGAAACAAATACAGTGTTAGATAATGGCAATACATCCTCTCTCTCTCTCTCTCTCTCTCTCTCTCTCTCTCTCTCTATATATATATATATATATATATAAAACAACAAAAATATTTCACTACATTAGTCCCCTGGAACTGCAGGTTATAATTAGTTTTTGTGCTGTGTGCACTGGTAATTAATATATAGTGAGATACAACTTTTTTCTCTTATAACCCAAAGTTAGCATATTGTTTTCTTTTAAAAGCTGTATTACCATGATTTGTTTTCACATTTTATCATATTTCTTACTCTAACTTCTTCACTTGGTGTCATCAATATTGTTTTTTCAAACTCAAGAATCACCTCCAGCTTAACTGTGAAATCTACTAGTTGCAAGGAACACAGATCTAGACCCTAAATTCGACATTCTGGAATTTGATATTATCCCTAAGGGTTAAGCATGAATCTATTCACATGATACTACATAAGATTAAAATTGACATCTTAATTTCACTTTTCATACTTTGGTAATTCTGTTACATACTTATTTCTATAAATTCTGACAACTTCACATATTATCTGACAGAACCGAGAGAAAATCAGTCAGAAAATCAGTGTGATAATTGAAACTCATACAACTTTGTGGATATAGAGGAAAACAGTAATTATTTTTCCATGTTAGTTAAGTTTCCAGGGTTATTTATCTTTATCATCAGTTTGACTAGATTAGATGAATTCTTGAGATGCAAGAAGCCGGCACAGTGGCTAACAACACAAGTCCTGAAATCAGACCAGGTAACCTAGCTCTGCCTCGGTCCTCTTGTGGCAAGTTACTTTCTTCTTCACGCCTAAACTATTTTGACTGTGAAATGAGCATATGGTTATGCTCAGGGTTATGGTAAGAAATAAATGAAAAGATGTATGTCAAACACTTGGTACAGTGCCTGCCATATAAATGCTGAATATATAATAACTATAATATTAAGGTGTTTCCATTTTGCTAGACATAATACTATTATCTTTGAGATATTATTTCATAAAGTTCTTGAGAAAGGATAAGAAAATGAGCTGATGTTGTCAATGATGCTAAGGTAGGGATAAGATATTAAATAAAGCAAATCATACCTCTCAATCTCACCCAAAAGACACGGAATTGGTATGAATAAGTGTACTATCCATGCAACTTCTGCGTTCACAGGACTGAATTCTTCAAATTCAAAACTTACTACTTAGAGAAAAATCCAGAATAAAAGCAGCTACTATTTACTTTTGTGTCTTCGCGTCAGGAAGGATGCAGGCCTTTACCTGTGTTAAGTCCTTATTCTCCAGGTGCATTTGACAGATGAGAACCCACGCTCAGGGGGGCAAGGGCCTGTATGCATCTCTGTTATGTGCCAAACATGGGATTACACGTGTAGCCAGGTCAGCCTGAAACTCAGTCTATTCTCACAACTCCCATGGTTTCCTTTGTAGGTCATATAGCTTACAAATCATTTGTTTGCTGAGTGAATGCATGGGTGAATATCCTTTGCAAAAAGCATTTTTTAAAGAAAAGGCTCATTATCACGCACTTCATTTTCTGTCATTTTCAGGAACTCGTATTTAAATCAAAGATTCCATGCTTAAGTGAAATAAATTGCTCAATTTTATTTTTAGATTAAATATAGTAATTATATATAAACTACAGATGAGTCAATTATGCATAAAACTATAATTGAAAGATATCCCTGATCCTATTCTAATATCAAAAACCATTCCAGTTTTATAGATGAGTCCAAATATAATTTGCTTTTAACCACTAGATTGTAAGATCCACAAATATAAAGACTCCGTTTGGTTTCCTGTTCTCAAGTGCCAGGCCAGGAGACACCAGGCACACGGCAGGTATTTGTTAACAAATGAACCTGGTGACCAGGTTTCTTATTTCTATCATTTTATCAATGGACAAAAAAACTGCTGCTAATCTTCTAGCATAAGCTTCACTTCTGTTAAAGTCCTTCCCCTAGAATACAGACTCTGTCACCCTTTATAGTGCAAACAGTAGGAGCAATGACCGTAGAACTGAACTATAATAAATCTTACCTGCAGTTCAGATCTCAGCTGATGTATCTGGCCCATCAGCTTCTGTATTTCCTCCCTCTGCATCTCCTTCTCATGCCGAAGTTCTTCAAGCTCCATGCTATTAGCAGTGCTGCTATCTAGGCCTTCAAAGCCCGATCCCTCCTTAAGGCTGTTAATCAATTTTTCTTTAGACTATTATAAAAAAAGAATTATCGTTAGACAAAGCAGAGGGTTAATTTGCCTACTAGGTATCATCTACCACACAGAAACTGAAACACTACAGAAACATTCCAACCCTATGCTCTACTGACTACATACAGACCGTTAAATACAGTGGGATAAAAACAAAATGCAGGCTTGCTGCTCAGGTCTTCGGATTTTAGTCCCCACGTTCAATAGTTGAAAACATAACATGATTTTTCCCATACGTTCTCATGCTTCCTCCCGCTCCCACGTCCTATCCCTTCAGCAGACACTGGTGGCACATCTGCAACGGCACCGTGCCCAGTAACAGACGACCCTCACGCGGGAGAGCGCCCCGCCGTATAAATTGAAAGGGGAGCTACAGGTGTCCAGTGGACAGCAATAAGCAAAAGCTGAGAGTTCCAAGAAGGAAAAACTATTTGAAGAGGAGGCTTTACACGAAAGAGCATTTATGTGGCACTGGAAAATGGCTAAGATTTTAAAAGGTGAAGAGAAAACAGAGTCTGAAACTTAAAATGAAAAAAAAAAAATGTCCATTGATGAAATGCGATGAGACCAACAGCAAAAGTACTATGAAGTATGCTCAGACAGTATGCTCGGACCGTCCTGTGAGCCAGGATGCTCTGATGCCAGGCCAAAATGTCCATCTGGTAAGTTAGGACACGTCACCAAAAAGTGACATGACCAGAGGGACAATTTAGGTGTCTGCAAACTATAACTGACCTGGCCTGTGGCTTGTTTCTGTACAGTCCACAAGTCAGAATGGCTTTCCTATTTTTAAGGGATTGCAAAAAGCAAAACCAAAGACTGTGTAATGCAAAAGACAGTCACAAAGCCAAGTGTACTATCTGGCCCTTTAAGAAAAACCCGCTGGTGCCTGGGATAAGACAAGCTGGAAACAGATTTGATGAAGGAAGGACTTCCAAAAGCTGCAACTCTAGGCCAGTAATAAGGACCACCACCTCTTTCACCTTAAATACAAGGATTCTAAATTCATTCTCCTCCATCAAAAAGGTTTTTCCTTTTTGTGTGGAAAAACTTTTGATGGGTGACTTCTTTCAAATTTTCTATGATAAATACAATCATTTATAAAAGCTCCCTGTATCACATCTCTATCTGGCCACGTCGTCAGTGTCTTCGTGTTGTCACCTTCCAGTTGATTCTGGAAGTACCTCTGGTGAGGTTCCCGGAACCTCCGCCTTGCCAGATGCAGCCACTGCGTACAGGCCCACGGAAGGAGCACCCTGCATCCACGGTTGAGCCTGGTCTAAGTCTCCCCCATGTGGCTTCCCTGAAGCACAGCCTCTTCCTGGTTCTCTGCCAGCCTCTGCCCACCCACCTTCCTTCTCGGCTTTTCTTTTGTAGGGCAGTGTTGTGGAGAACGGGCTACTGGAGGCAGTGGGTGGGAAGGACAGGCAGAAGTTACCCTCAGTAAAAACCAAAAAGACTGGTGTTCCCTCTGACATAAGCAACACAGGAAGAGAAGCTGAAAACGACCTTCGAGGACGTGGCATTTTCTAGTTAAGTAAAGGCAGCAGTCACCTTAGATTTAAGCGAGGAGACAACAGCTGGGTGAAACCTAAACTAGTTGCTCTGGAAAAAAATCAATTGTTAATAATATCATGGTGGCTAAGGCGGTAGGCTGAAAGCCTGCACTAGGTAGTAGCAGAATTAATTAATACGAAAGAAAAAAATGCAGGAAGACGACACACTTCATTCTCTGTATAAGCAGAGCACGGCCCTGAAGGGAGCCAGCCCAGCCACACGCAGACCAGTCTCCTCACAGATTTGTGTCGAGTCTCCAGTGCCTCTCAACCAGCTGGTAAATCTTAACACTCAAACGTGTATAGCTCAGGTTTACCTGGAGTATCCTCGTGGCTTTTTGCTTGTAGTCAATTAGTTCCTGCTTAGAGGATTCCAAGTTGGACTTAAACATTTTGACTTGCTGTTGAAGCTCATCAACTCGCTTCTTCTCATCTGAGTATTTTCTTTCTGCCAGAGTCACTGATTCTGCCAAGTTCTGACGCTCTACTTCCATTTTATTAAGGCGGGCAGTAAACTCACTCTGTGATAAAATTTTACATCATGCTTATTATATGTCATGCTTTTTATATGTCATGCTTTGAGATACTACTTTACAACTATCCATTTAGATATTTTATGGAATTTGTTAGCTCAGCCAACAATGCAACAAGGAGGCAAAAATAAACGAATAAATAAAACAATAACAAACAAACCCAATTCACCTGTTGAAATATAAAAAAGGGAGATGTAAGGTTGTGTCTGAAATATGGCAAATCACCAAAATTAAGTCGGGTGTTTTTTTTTTTAAATACAATCACCCAAAGACTTTCCCAGCTTTACTAAATTGGAATTTCCACTACCAGGCTACGAATCCACGTTTAAAGATTTTTCCCAGGTTAATCTGGTCACCTGGCTACAGGTGGATAAAAATCACCAGAAAGTCTCTTAGAAAGCAAACGGAAGAAACAAGTAAAGGAAAAGTTAGATCTTTTCCATGTTTTCCCTTCATTTCAAATTTTCTCGCATACTAGCCAGTGTAATTCTTTAGCTAAAGAAACTTTTTAAGCACAATGTGAACAACACAACCTGTCACTAACCAGCCTGACTAGTTCTGAGAATGATTTTTCACCTTTCTCCTCAAAGTTTCTGTCACCAAGAAGTCCAGAATGTAAGGCAAAAGTATAAAACATTCATCGTTATATACCAATAACTAGAGCCCACAAAAAACTGACCTATTATTAGTTCTTACTTTGAAGAATAGTGGCAAAGGCCCACAGCTGATGTCTAATGAGCATCACTGGAAATGTGTCCAATGCAAGTGAGAATTGTACTTTTAAAGTTTACTCATTGCGATAAATTTAAACATGAAAACTTTCTAACATAATTAGAAATGGATTTGCAGAGACGTAGCCTGCATACCATAAAGGCCACCCTCTTACCTGCTCAGCTAAATGGTTTTCACTCCGAATGTTGTGCACCCATCACCACGATCTAATCTCAGAACGTATCGACCCAGAAAGAAATCTCTACCCATTCCTGCCTCCTCCTCGGCTGCTAGCAACCATTAATTACTTTCTTTCACTATGGATGTGCACATTCTGGACATTTCAGGTAGATGAAATCCTACAGGATGTGGCTTTGTCTTCTTTCTCTTGTGTAACATTTTAAAGGTTGCTCCGTGTTGTACAGGAGTCAATACGCCATTTCTCTTTGTGGCTGACCTGCCTCTCCGTGGAAAGATGTAACACACTTTATTTATCCAATCAGCAGTTGATGGACACATGTATTTTTTTCCAGTTTGGGGCTATTAAAAATAATGCATATGTGTACAAGTTTCAGTGTGGACACAGACTTTTAATGGTCTTATGTATATACTACCTAGGGGAAGGTACCAGGTATAACTGGTAGGTCACAGGATAATTATGGTTAAGCTTTTGAGGAACTGTCTCTTACTGGAAAACCTCAAGTATATTTAGAACAATCTGGGCATGCAAATTTACTTTTTCACCTATAAATTTTGTGAAACCTAAATCTAGATCAGGTATTTCCAAAGAAAATCTGGTGAATGAATTGAGATATGCTGCAACTGTAAAATACACTATTTTAAAATACTAGTCTGCAAAAAAGAACATATAATGTTTGACTACTGCTACTGCATGTTGAGAATGATAGTACTTTGGATATATTATACACATGAAACAGCAAGAAGTTTTTCAAAAAATCTGATATTTTCAGGGCTCCTCTACTTTTACCTGCTGAAAAGAGAGTCCAGAATAGGGGTTCCTGAACTGACCGCCTACTAGTGACACCTAAGACTAACACCTAGGGCCCCACCCAACACAATGGAGTCACATTCTCCTGAAGCAGGGGTCAGCCACCAGAAAGGCTGTGAATCACTGAACTAGATGCAAAAATTCACTTCAGAGTAAAACTAAATACTATATATAATTTGGTCTTGAAGCAAATAAATCAGATTAAACTGGAATCAGAAATAAAATGATGATTTGCCCCAAGTCATCTTTTAATCAAATAATGGTAAATGTTGGCTGTGTGACCAAATTAAAAGATTTTTTAAAAAGATTTTAATGAATAGTAACTAACTCCTTTTTTATTTCAATACATAAAGTTGAGTTTAGCAAGGATCAAGCTTAATTTTAAACATTTGGTTTATGTCATAGGATGTTTTAAAATGTACCGCAGTAGTTAATTAGCCCTTAAATGTAAGAAACAGCATAAAGTCACTCAATCAAATCACAAAAGGAAGGTGTTGCCTCCCGCTCTGACCTGCATTTGCTTATAGCTCTCCTGCTCTCGCTTCAGAGCAGCATCCGCTTCGTGCAGTCTCTCCTGGAGAGTCTGCAGAGCTTGGTTCTGCAGGCTGCTTCCTTCGCTGTGATCCTGTATTATCCTAAAAGAAGATCCGTCATTTGAAATAACACTTACGCACAGTGGGCAAGCAGTAAGGCAGAACAACTTCTAGCGTTTTGGCTTGTTGGTACTAAAAAAGATGGTCTGACTAACAGTCGTAGAGAAATCTTTTCCCTTTTAGCCAAATGTCACGTCTATTTGTAGGCATACAAACGTACGCATGTAACTCATATTATTAAACACCAAGAGACTAAGGATACAATGTTCTTGAAATATTTTAAAATGTACAAGTTGCTTACATCTCAAAGTTCAAATAAGTTCACTTTTAATCATACATTTCTACAAAGATAATGTTCCTGCATGTAAATGTCCAGAAGCTAAATTTCACAAGACAAGGTACACAGTACTGGTTATCATTATTCCCACTGGGAAGAGAATCATCTGACTAGACAATCCTAATCTGGGGGGTGAGTTACCGTGACTTTTCACTCTGTAAGGTCTCCAGCGCTTCTGTGCGAGTGCTCAGTAGCTGGTCGGCTTCCTGGAGTCGCACTTTCAGGACAGCCAGCTGGGAATCTTTTGCAGCCACTGCTTCAGTCAGGTCATCGACTTGGGCTCGAAGTTCTCGAGTTATTCGATCACTCTTTGAATGATCAGCATTCCACTTTTCAACTCTTGCTCTTGCTTTGTTTAGTTCTTAAAACACACACACACAAAATCTCTCTATAAAAGTGAACCAATCCTTCTCAGAGCGCACACACATTGTCCCTTGAGTCCCTCCTGTACTTATTTTCAAAACTAGGTTACAGATATCTTCAATTTTTTTGTGCCAGGTGGAACATCTATTTTTTTTTAAAGATTTTTTTATGTATGCATACAAGATCTGGGGTACAGGTCAGGTGCAGGGGATGAGAGGATTCACCAGAGACAGAGTGGGGAGCAGAACAGGCAGATCTACTAAAATACACTGCTGAGGGGAGTAGTGGGCAAGGCAGGAGAGGTCTTGAACTGGTGCTGCAGTGGCTACGGAGAGCTTCATAGTGCCACGCTTTAACCCACTGTGCCACCAGGGAGGGCCCAGAATACCCATTTTTCAAGACCCATAATCACATCTATCTTGTTAGAAAGAGCCATGAGGCTAGTTGCTCTTCTATATAAGTTTCTTTTTTCCTGGAGACAGATGATAAAGCAACTGGGACCCAAATCAACAAGAGTTCACAACTCTGGGCTGATCAGTAGACTTGCAAGAGATAAGAAAGAATAGATAATGTACAGCCCAGCAAGACCAAAACAACCAATGACAAACACAAGAAAAGATCTATGCTATTCTCTTAACTGCTGTGGGAAGACCCATGCTATGAGCACTTCCACACTTCCATTTAGTGTCTGTAGTTGCAATTTACCAGCCCCCCCCCAAATTATTTTTGTATTAAAGAAATCTACAGGACCGCAGGAAAAGCTGTAGTCTACATCTGAAGTAACCTGGGTAAAGTGATGCTTTTCCTAAACTTCACTCAGTACATCTTAAACTGTCACCCTACTGCTCCCTTGGGCCTCCAACCACATCTTGGCAAAGCTCTTCCTACTGTCCCTGCACTTTCTACCACTCCAGGAACAAAGGCTGAGATTTCTTCTTTCTGTTCTCTTCTCAGTCACACTTATAATTACTAACATATTCCCCACCACTACCTCAGTTATGGGACTATCTGCCTAATCACCCACCTCGGAGGAACCAAAGGTTTTCTACTCCAAGCACCATTCAGCACACCTCCAAGAGGCTGCTATTTAAACTGAAACCCCAGGTCACTCTGTGCCCCCTAAGACAGCAATGCTGTGGAAATGCCCTGTGGTGTCCGGTACTGTGATTACTGTGTGTCTGATTCCGCCTTTGGAATTCCGCCTTTGCACAGTCCTCTGTGAAGTTCAGCATAAACCAATTAAATGGACCAGGTGAGTACTAAAGGTCTGTTGTTTCAGTTCTTAAATTAGAATGACCAAATAAGGAGTGATCAAATAAGCCAAATGTCTCCACTTTGGACTGGTGATAGGGTAAGTAGTCCTAAATCCAAATCTAGGTATTGGATTTCTATGAAAACACTTTCAGAAATATCATCTAAAATATTTCTAAACATCTAAAACAGTTTAGATATTATCTTGTTGAACTGAGACTTTTCTAATCTTGGGCAAATTAAGTAAGACTTACCTTCTTGAGTTTCCTTGGATCTTTGAAGTAATGAGGCCATTTCTTGATTTAAAGACTGAACTTCATTCCTTAACAGTTGATTCTCCAGGCGAAGGTTAGACAGTTCGTGTGACTTGCCCTCATCAGTAGGTGCTGAGCTGTGATCAGCACAGGCATCTGATAGTACATTTTCCTTTGCAGAATCTTCTTGGCCTTCATGGCCAGAATCAGCATTATTAGAAGTTTCTATAAAAAAAAAATGCATTTTCATTACATTGGACACTAGCTACTATTTAAGCATTGGTAGCTTGTTTGGTAGAATGCCTTTGGCTGAAGTAGACTGTGAAAGCAAAAATACCATTGAAATTAAACTTATTCTCAAAAGACTTCCCTCCAATAAAAATTCATTCTCATCTTCTGTGGAATCTACAGACCTCAAAGAATCTTCGAAATCTGTATTCACTGAATGAATGGTGTCAAGAATAGACACAACAATACAGTTCAAGAAGTGAGAAAATCAGAGGTAATTTAAATGGAAGAAGGCTTTCAACCTCCATATGTCTCCTAATCATTTTTGAAAATCAGAGTGAAATCGCAACACTGAAGATGTTGGAAAGACCCAAAACCATAGCTGTGAGTTTCAAGGCAAGGTCACAGAAATTTGCTCTATACCAAACAAATCTAAATGTCATGCAAAATACATCTTTACTTACTCCGACAAAAAAAAATGAAGTATAAGCCACAAAATAAAGTGTATTTTCAAGCTCTACCCAATACAATGAAAAGAAAAAGATTTTTAAAGAGCAAAAAGGGTAAGAAACCCAGTTGTTATCACCCACAGACACAACTAAGCATGTGGCACCCTCTGTATCTCAGCACTGGTCGGCATTCCAAGCATCTGTTCACAAACTGGGGTGGTTTGATCCCTCAAGAGACATTTGGGGACATACGAAGCCTTTTTTAGTTTTTACAACAGGAAGGTTCTACTGACATCTAACGGATTGAGAGGCAAGGGATGCTGCTGATAAAATAGAACAGCTTCCCATCACAAAGAATTGGTCTACCCAGAATGCAGCAGTCCTCAGGTTAAGAGACTCTGTTGTAGAGAAATGAAACTGGGTTTTCATAGCTACCACGTAATCTACTGGTAACTGGTTCTAACTCATCTCTACTTTCTTTAAAAGTAGAAGGAAAGGCCTCCATGAGCATCACAATGCTGTGGCCCTTGGACATTTACTGCCTAGGAACTGCCTGGACAATGAAAAAGTTCAGATGTCCTGACTTCACCAAAACCTCTGATTCAGGAAGCTTTGGGGGGCATCCAATATTTTTTTAATTGACCCTAAAGTGATTCTACTACAGGTTGTCCAGGAACCACTCTTTGAGAAACAATGCTTTATGGAAATAACGGGTATAAACAAGTAAGCAGTGGCATTTTATAAGGGCCATCACCAGCAGGTCACAAATGTCCTTGCTAGGTTAGTTTCTTCATTGCCATTCATCTCACACTGTTTCCAGAACTTTCTCATGAACCTTTTTTTACTCCATCAAACTTTTAAGTAATCTGTGTGTGGACAGTGTAAGTCCTCTATTCACCCTGAAAACTATTCAGTAAGACCCAGGTGAAATTACAGATCCGGCCCTCCCTGGTGGCGCAGCAGGTTAAAGCACAACACTGAGAAGCTAAAGCCACTTCCACATGAATTCGATTCCCACCTGCCCTGGAGACCACATAGCATGGCAGACCTCTCCTGACCCGCCTGCTGCTCCCCTTAGCAGTGTACTTCCTCGATCTGCCTGTTCTGCTCCCCACTCTGTCTCTGGTGAAGCCTCTCACCACTCCTGCATCTCTGGCCTGTACCCCAGTTCTATATGCATAAATAAATAAATCTTTAAAAAAAAAAAAAAGAAAAAAATTACAGATCCTACGTGAGTCTGTATCTGACACTGTAGGCAATCAGTTACTTCCTTCTGGATGCTTTGATCACACTACCTGGAAATTAGCTACAGGTGTCTCAATCTTGTGCACTACATCCTAATTCATTCGGTACTGTATCCTGGCACCCAGCAGGTGGTCAAGAAATGTTTGAATAATTAATTGAAAGATAGCTGAGAAGAAATCTGTCAGTGTGCATACATTGTAAAACAAGCTGCTACAACATGCTCATCTTGGAAGCTCAAAACCCCGCCCTCTTCACTACTTATAAATCTCAAAAATACAAAACATTTTGCTTTCTAAAAGCAAAAGACTGGGAGTTCTAACATTTAAGGACATAACAAGCCTCCCCTGACTAAGGAATCCCTGTAAGAACCTAATGTATGTATGGCTACTTTACGCATGAATTAGCCATGTTTCCATGTTAACCTTATTTCTACAAGTGAGAAGGTACAATGTGGAAGTCACGTAATGGCAAGTAAAATAACTGAAAAATCAGAATTCTAAGTTTTCACTTCATTATTTGGCTAATGCCTTCAACCCTCTAACTTGGAATCAAAGTTCAGTTTCTCGGTTTTACTTTTGGGGGACCCGGGGTCAGAAAAAATTTATAATCCAGAATACAGGTGAAGAACAGCCTCCTGCATTTTTATAATCTGCTGACAAGAAGAAATGAAATGAGGTAACTCCAAATCCAAAATTAATTTTTTTTTTTTCAGATTTCATTCCCCCCTCACCGTTTTGGTATTTTTAAATATTCTGGAGAATAATTTTTGTCATAGATGCTGGGCTGGGAAATTACTCTCAGACGACATGCAAAGATCACTGTAATAACTGCATACTGACTAACAGCACACCGCATTCTTTTGCTTGTGCCATACATCTCAGAGTCTGCGCTTACACCAGTGGGGACAGTCAATACGACAGATGACCAACATTATCAGAATGTTTTAGACTGCAAAGACATCCAATTTGCATAACTTAAAAAAAAAAACCGAACACAGAGGACTGATTAAGTACCATCATTTTGGCTCCCAGAAGGATTTTCTTCAATGGTTTTGACATTGGCTGGGCTGGTTTTAACAGAAGTGACACTTGTTTGAGAACTCTGAAGCACAGGTGTCTTGTTCTTTTCTTTTTTGATTTCTACCCTCCCAGTAGGCTCCTTCTGTGAACTATTAAGAAAATCAAAAAGCAGCTCGTCATCAGGTTCTGACTTTTTTCTCCGAACAAACTGGGACGAAGGCCTAGGAACAGAGGCATTTTCACCAGGGTGGGAGACTTCCACTGCTGTCCTGGGTCCTACTTTCACATTGGCAGTGCCAGCTAAGAGGGTAGTTTTTTGATTTCTAATGTTATCAGCTGCTGAGGAAATATAAGTAGCTTTAGATCCAGTCTGATAAGTTAAATCTGCAGATTGCTGATGTTCAGGATAGTCAGTATTTTTGCTATAGGCAGTGTTGCTAGTACTCTCTTTTCTATTGAGAGCTGTTGCAGCCCCTTGATCAACTCGGTTTAAAAGATCTTCTGCCTTCCCAGCAAGATCAGCAAACCAAGACATGACGGTAGCAGGATAATCCTACTGGAGAACCTGTAAAAAGGACACAAAGTGAGCAGGATGAGAAAGCAGCAGAAAGGGTGGGTAAGACCAGGCTCTAGACCCAGATGACGCAGGAAGAAATCCTAATCCTGTCTCTTACCAGCTATGTAGCACAAGCAAGCTACTTAACTGAAACTGAGAAACTATATATAGAAAATGAGGAAAGTAAGTGTATGTATATTACAGGGCAGTTTAAATGAATAAATAAAAGGGCTGTGCAAAATGGCAGTCACAGTGGCAACTATCACTGCTGCTATGATTCCTGTTTCAATAAAGGGCAAGTCTTCATGTAGCAAAACACCTGAAATCTTCAAATGATCACTATGGTAAAGCTAAATAAAAACAACTATCTCAAGTTTGTTATAAGGTGCCAAAACTTGAAAAACCTTCGGACCAACATCAAGCTTTCTTAATGTAAACTGCAGTACTCATGGACAGTTAGGTACCCACAGTAGTAATCCAATAATTTCAACACTCAGTGCCTGTTAAGTGTATATTAACAAGCTAAGTTCAGAATTTTAAAAATGGTCAGTCAGCCCTCCCTGGTGGCGTAAGGGTTAAAGCACAGTGCTGTGAAGCTATGCAGCCACTGCAGCATGAGTTCCATCCCTGGCCAGGGAGGTGACCCACATGGTGCAGCACCCACTGCTCCCCTCAGCAATGTATTTCAGTAGATCTGCCTGTTCTGCTCCCTATTCTGTCTCTGGTGAATCCTCTCACCCCCTGCACCTCTGGCCTGTACCCCAGTTATATATGCATAAATAAATACATTTTAATAAATAAAACAAAAATGGTCATTCACCTGATGGTTGAATACTTATAACGTACCAATACTTAGAATCTATCTGTACATATATACACAGTCATAATGATTTAAAATAATAGTGAAGCAACTAGTCCTCATGATATAGAACATTGTTTAAGTCAACAACCATTTCTTGAATGTGTATATTGACCCTTTTGTTTGGACTGTCTTTTCACGGTTAACACTTTCTAGTTCTTGCTTTTCACTTAAATGTCATCTGCTCCCAAAACAGTTTTTTCTTTCCAACAAAGGGAGGTTCTATCATTTTCTGTTCACACCCTATTCTTTTCCCTCACAAAGCTTATGATAATGAACAATTGTTTTTTCACAAACCAGATGGGATGCCAGTCTTAGGTACTCAACTCTAAGTCTGCCAAACACACCGTTTAACCTCTGCCTTCCCAGTCTGGCCTCTCAGTATCTGAGTAACAAGAACTCATCGTCTAAACCTGTTCCTAACAAAATGGGACTAACGCATGGCTATGTATTTCACAGGGCTTCTGTGTGAAAGCAAATAAAAATGGAGGTGGAATGCTTTGTAACACATTAAACTCCCAAAGGTACCTAAAACTCCCTAAAATATTATTCGCAAGGAAATATTGGTGGTGACTGGGAGCAAATGATCTCTTCTAATAAAACAATCAAGACTCTTATTGCTTAGTTATTACCTCTCATCTAAAAGTTTAAAGGACTTGAGAACAAAAGCCTGGGCCTTCATACTGATTATCCAATTAAATATTAAGATGGGTTCTGGGCACCTGCTTCAGTGACAGACAACTCTAAGGGACTTGAGCGCTGCAAAGTCCTCAAGTAATTTCAGATAATGACCCACACCGAGGGATCCTAGAGGGTGAGGGTGCGTGGGATCGGGCTGTCGGCCCGGGGTGCACAGCAAGCTTCCAAGTCAGGTGTCAGCTCAGAGAAGGGGGCTTGGAGCGGGGGTCCAGGATGTGCGTGTCAGTCAAGCAGGTCAGGCCTCAGGGAGCCCGTACGGACCCTCACTTCTTCCCCGCATCCTTTCGTAAGAGCCTCCTGGGGAAGAGCCGCCAAACTGGGCTGGCTGTGGAGGGCGGGCCCTAAGCAATGTCCGCTGGGGCTGCGGGGGGCTCTCCCGTCCGCTCTCTCAACCTCCAAGAGCACCGAGAGAACCGGTCTCTGTGGGGGGACACCGCCCCCGCATCTAAGGCCGTTAACGCCCCAAGCAGACCCGTCCTGCCCTCTGGGCCCTCGCCGCCGCCTCACCTGCGGACTCTGGAGGGGCCGCCCCCCTAAGCAGCCGGCCGGGAGAGGGCCCAGGCTGAGCAAACCTGCCCCCGATCAGCCGCGGCCCCGGCGGCCCTGCTACTTTTCCGGGAGACGTGGAAGGGTGGCGAGGACCCCAAAACAGAGCGACTTTTCAGCTGCCTGAGCGGCCGGAGCAGAGAGTAGCCACCTGCAGGTGACTCAGGCAGCGGCGCCGGCGGCCGCGGGGTCCTCGAGCAGGCCACGCCCTCCTTCCGCCTGCGGCGGGGCGTGACGTAGCTCGTCTCCCGGCACGCGGCCGGCACAACATTGGAGGCCACGCCCACAGTGGGCGTGGCCCCGCGGCTGCCCACCTAGGGCCGCAGGAGGTGCTCTTCCGGGAAGGAATTTGGGGGTCTGAGTTGGGCGGGCTTGAGGCGCAGCGGGAGCATCCCGCCGCCGCTTTACCCCCTTCTTCTCCGCCATCCAATCTAATTTTATGGGTGAGGATGCGGATGCCTGTGCCGGAGGTGGTAATGCAGCAAACAAGATGTTTGATTTCACGGAGCTTATTCTAGCTGCAGGACAAATCTTAATTAAGCCAGTGAATGAGCAAGGCCGTTTTTCGAACATTACCAGAGCTGGAAAGACAAGAAACAGGGAAAAGTCACTTTAAATGGTGTGGTCAGGGAAGTTGTCTCTGAGGAGCTGACATTTGAGCTGAGAGTCAAAGTTCCCATAAAGGACTTCTAGGGCAGTACTGTAGTTATGGACACAATTCATCGAATATTTGAAATTGGTGTATAATCCACACTCAATGATTCAACAAATACTCAGCATCGACTTTGTCGACGAGGTTGGGCTAATTTGCCTCTGATGACAAAACTCTAACCCTCCATTTTCAGGATGCAGAAACTAAAGCTCAAGAGAGTAACTTAAGATCATTTCCTGGTGATGGCACATGGGTGACTCGGTGATGGGAAACCCACGAGGATTTTTTTTCATCTCATTTGAGATGAAAAAAAAAATGGTACAAAATGATGTAAAAATAAACTATTATATTAATAAAAAAAATCCATCCAGAAAAAAAAAGATCATTTCTCCCATAAGGAGTTCACACTACTCAAAAGCCTGTATCCTTACACATGTTGTATCGTTTCCAAATTCAATGTTGGGATTAATTCTTTTCTGCCTCCAAGTCAGGCTTAGCCCAGTCTAGTGAACAGAAAAGAGAAGATGATAATGATAATACTATTCACCACCAGTTACTGAATCCTTATCAAGAGCACAGTATTGTGTTAAGCTTTGGGCTAACTTTATCTCTTTTAATATTTACAACAACCAGCCCTCCCTGGTGGTGCAGCGAGTTAAAGCACAGCACTAAGAAGCTAAAGCCACTTGAGCATGAGTTAAATACCCGCCCATCCCGGGGGTGGGGTGGGGGGTGACCCACATGGTGCGGCAGACCTCTCCTGACCAGCCCTCTGCTCCCCTCAGCAGTGTACTTCCTCGATCTGCCTGTTCTGCTCCCCACCTGTCTCTGGTGAATCCTCTCACCACCCCTGCACCTCTGGCCTGTATCCCAGTACTGTATGCATAAATAAATAAATCTTTTAAAAAAAATATTTACAACAACCATAGAAAGTTACAGTTTCCGTGTGGTGGTAGATGGTGGTGTTCCCACTGAATAAGTAGCTCTTCCTCTTAAGGGTTTCACCACCTGGTGCCACGCTGCTCAGGCCGTGTTCTTTCCAACTTCACTGATACCAGGTTTGAGCTTGTGACTTCCTTTGGCCAATGGCACATGATCAGAGAAGTCTCTCCACATCTGAATGAAAGTGTAGAGAGCCTGTCAAGGTCCAAAATCACCTGGTCACCTCCTGTGACAAAGGACAGGGCCAGAGATGCACAAGCAAGTGGAGTTTATTAAGCCAGCTAGCTGGGGTCAAGCTTTTCTGCAGACCTGCAGGCCCCACAAAAGGATCAAGACCCCGATCAGAGAAACGCCAGGGAATATATAGGTCTCATCAGCCGTTACATGCGTCACAACCCGTGCAAATCCAATTCAGCCAGCAAATCCACAAACCAACTACATCAAAACAGCTCAACCACACAAGAGCATGCCCTCCAGGAATAGACAACTCGACAAGCTCCAGGAACCACCGCCAGGAAGCAGCACCCACCCATACCCGCTGGAGACCTAGGCCAGGGGCCACACAGGGGCCCAGACAGAGGGACCCAACAAGCCAAGATGTATTTCCACAAGGTCTCTTAATCTTGTTCCTCTGTCATGCAAATGGTCAGACCTGCTAACTCAGCCTACCTGAGTAGGCTGAGGTGAAGTGGTCTATGTCTAACATAAAAGCAAAAGACAAACCTTTGTTTTTAGATGTCACTGAGATCAGGGGATTGTTTCTTATACAGTGTTACCTCATGAAAGCTGACTGATACTTACTCCCATTTTACAGATAAAGGTAACAGAGATTCAGACAGAAATAGTTACTTTTCCATGTTCACAGGAAGTAGTGGAACATCAGGGAATCAAATCTAGGCCATGTGGCTCCAGAAACAATGCTCTTAACCATGGAAAGGATGAGAATGAAATAAGTTGAAGCAGATTCCCAGGCCCCTAGAGAGTCAGTTAGATTAAGTCACTTAAAGCTAGCTAATTTGCTAAATAAGATGCCAGACCATCTGAATTTTTTTTTTGAGGAATAGGAGGAGTGAGAAAAAGATTTGAATTAAAAAAAAAAAAGGACCCAAACTGCCCAAATCAATGGAAGCATTAAACTTGCATTCAAGTTCGGTGATCTTCAAATAGGAAAAATACCATATAGAACTGTCAAACCATTGAAAGACAAAAACAAAAAGAAAATCTTAAAAGTTTCAAGAGAAGAAAATGGCTCATCACATCCAGGAGGATAAGAGTAACAGCTGACTTTGCATCAGGACCAATGAGGCACAGAAAGCAGGCAGTGGCAGATATAAAATGCTGGGATAAAACTGTCAATGAAGAATTGTTTTTTCCAAAGAAAGCATCTTTTGAAAGTAAAATCAATCCATCTGTCTATCCATCATCCATCCATCATCCATCCATCCATCCATCCATCATCCATCCATCCATCCATCTATCATCCATCCATCCATCCATCATCTATCTATCATCCATCCATCCATCATCCATCATCCATCCACCCATCCATCATCCATCCACCCATCCACCTATCCATCCATCCATCCATCCATCCATCCATCCATCCATCCATCCATCCATCCAGTTGTTTCTCTGAAGAAACCTGAATAATTACCAGGACATTCCACATATATGACATCTCCAGACAGATAAATTCCAGGGACAAAGAGATTGCTGGCTTCCAGGGTATGAGGGGTAAGGGGCATGAGAGTGAATGCTTAATGGATTCAGAATTTTCTTTGGGGGATGAAGATGATGTGTTGGAACTTGATTTAGGTAGTGGTTTACAACATTGTGAAGGCCACTAAACTGTACTTTAAAATGATGCATTTGGAATGATGTGAATTTCACCTCAATTAAAAACTTGTGTGAGAGATCAAGCATGCTGATATGGGGGGTGGGGGAAGCAGTGGACTTAATAGTGTGGCGGTCACAGGTAATCTGGACAGAGGTGGATTTGGTGTCTGTAGAGTAAGAACTAGTAGGAGAATCCATTCAAGGGGACTCGCCACAAGGGGGCAGACTCCAGCGCACAGTTCTCCCAGGAACTTTGCTTCTCTCTCCAGAGTCAAGGGCGGGATATTTTGTTTGCTTTGAACATTCACCTCAGGGATCTGTTTTTGACCTTGGCATCAGCACTTTCTCATACTCTTTATTGTCTTGCTTGCTCTTCTGTGCACTTAAAATGATGGTTTTTGTACACTTTTACAATTTTGTCAATTTAGTGGATGTCTAGTGATAACTCACTATGGTTTTTAATATGTAAACATACACATCTAAATACAGATGCATTTTCTAAGTATATAAAGTGAATATGTAAAATATGTGTATATATAATACTTAAGAAATATTTAATCTAGTAATTTTAAGGTATTTTTAATGTTGGAGGAGCTCAGGATATTTTATCCACAACTGTCTTGGAAACAAACTGCTGCATTTTAGGCCCTCCCTGGTGGCGCAGCGGGTTAAAGCGCAGCACTAAGAAGCTTAAACCAGAAGCTTAAACCACTTCCTCATGAGTTCGATTCCCGCCTGCCCCGGAGGTGACCACATGGTGTGTCAGACCTCTCCTGACCCGCCCGCTGCTCCCCTCAGCAGTGTACTTCGTCGATCTGGTCGATCTGCCTCTTCTGCTCCCCACGCTGTCTCTGGTGAATCCTCTCACCCTCCACATCTCTGGCCTGTACCCTAGTTCTATATGAATAAATAAATAAACCTTAGAAGAAAAAAAAACTGCTGCATTTTAAAATCTATTTTTTAAAAAGATATATTTACATATGCATACAAGAACTGGGGTACAGGCCAGAGTTGCAGGGAGGGGTAAGAGGATTCACCTGAGACAGACTGGGAAGCAGAACAGGCAGATGGACGAAATACGCTGACGAGGGAAGCAGCAGGCAGGTCAGGAGAGGTCTGCTGTGCTATGTGGGTGACTCCCTGGCCAGGAATCAAACTAAGGCCACAGTGGGTGGCGGTAGCTTCATAGTGCTGTAACAGGGTGGTCCCAGGAAAAGGGGAAGTTCCAGGTTCCCTGCCCCACCAGAAGGAGGGTGGAGCTGAGCAGAGAAGAGAAGGAATCTGAAGAAGAAGGAAGCAGGATGGAGAGCCAGAAGGAGACCTGAGGAAGCCACATGGACCAGAGAAACATGTGAAGAAACTTTGCTTCTGGTCTTGGACTGGTTGAAAGAGATGTAGGTGAGAGACCCGTGGGGAGGTTGACTATGGCAGCATTTATATTGATTCTGATTGTGCTCTTTTTCTCCCAGACTTGTCTGGCCATTTCTGATCCTTTTCCATGGGTTCCGACCACAGGGTGCTTTAGTATTGTGACAGGCTTTCCAGTCTCGCTTTGGGCCAATCCCTGTTGGGTGGACTTTTGCCCACGAGGGGATAGGTTCTTTGTCTATCCTGTATTATATACTCATTGTATTAAAATTCCCTACTGGGCCCTCCCTGGTGGCGCAGCGGGTTAAAGCACTGCACTAGGAAGCTTAAGCCACTTTCTCATGAGTTTAATCCCCTCCTGCCCCAGAGGT